GGGGGATTGGGAATGGTGGGATGGGAATGGGGGGATTGGAATGGTGGGATTGGGTGGGGATTGGGAATGGGTTTGGGAATGGGATTGGTGGTGGGGGATGGGGGAATGGGAATGTTGTGATTGGGAATGTTGTGAATGCTGGGGGTCTCCACCTGGATGTGCTTGCTGTCAGCAGAGAAGTCCACCTGGAGCACGGACCCCGGGAGGTCCTTGCAGTACCCGACCCGGTTCAGAGCCGGGCCCAGAGACAGGTCATAGAAATCCACCGCGCTCTCCAGAGAACCCACCGCCAGGAACCGGTTATCAGGACTGAACCTGGATATACAAGTGTATACAGGTATATCATGTGATATAAAGTATATACAGGTATATCATGTAATATAAAGTATATACAGGTATATCATGTAATATAAAGTATATACAGGTATATCATGTAATATAAAGTATATACAGGTATATCATGTAATATAAAGTATATACAGGTATATCATGTAATATAAAGTATATACAGGTATATCATGTAATATAAAGTATATACAGGTATATCATGTGATATAAAGTGTATACAGGTATATCATGTGATATAAAGTATATACAGGTATATCATGTGATATAAAGTATATACAGGTATATCATGTGATATAAAGTGTATACAGGTATATCATGTGATATAAAGTGTATACAGGTATATCATGTGATATAAAGTGTATACAGGTATATCATGTGATATAAAGTGTATGATATACTGAGAGGGTTAAACAGCGCCCCCATCAAAGTATTGTATAAAGTTATATTATCACTTATTCATCTGTGGGTTGAGCCTTTCAGCTTTTCCCTCATTTCTGCTCTTCAGAATACCATACGCACATTATTCCTCAGATATATACATATATAGATCTATAGATGTACAGTATATAGATGTACAGTATAGATCCACAGTAGGTAGAGTAGACAGCGCACCTGATGTCCTGGATGGCGGCGCTGCGGTCTCTCTTCTTGCCCCACACGGTCAGAGAGTTGACGAGCAGAACGATGAACTCTCCGTTCTCCATCCCGATGGAAACCATCTCCCCGTTAGGACTGTAGGACGTGCACTTAGCAGGGTGGCCCAGACTCACCTTGTTCAGCAGTTTCTGACAACAACAACAACAACAACATGTGAGGAACACTTCCCAACACAACAACAACATGTGAGGAACTCTTCCCAACACAACAACAACAACATGTGAGGAACACTTCCATACAGACACCGTTTCTCCCTCTTTAAGAAAAGACAGTCTGTAAGTAAATGCAATATGTATTTTCTACATGTTGATGAAGAAGAGACATGAGGAAGAGGGGACACATGTTGATGTAGAAGAGACACGAAGAAGAGGGGACACATGTTGATGAAGAAGAGACATGAGGAAGAGGGGACACATGTTGATGAAGAAGAGACATGAAGAAGAGGGGACACATGTTGATGAAGAAGAGACATGAAGAAGAGGGGACACATGTTGATGTAGAAGAGACATGAAGAAGAGGGGACACATGTTGATGAAGAAGAGACATGAAGAAGAGGGGACACATGTTGATGAAGAAGAGACATGAAGAAGAGGGGACACATGTTGATGTAGAAGAGACACGAAGAAGAGGGGACACATGTTGATGAAGAAGAGACATGAAGAAGAGGGGACACATGTTGATGAAGAAGAGACATGAAGAAGAGGGGACACATGTTGATGTAGAAGAGACATGAAGAAGAGGGGACACATGTTGATGAAGAAGAGACATGAAGAAGAGGGGACACATGTTGATGTAGAAGAGACATGAAGAAGAGGGGACACATGTTGATGTAGAAGAGACATGAAGAAGAGGGGACACATGGTGATGAAGAAGAGACATGAAGAAGAGGGGACACATGTTGATGTAGAAGAGACATGAAGAAGAGGGGACACATGTTGATGAAGAAGAGACATGAAGAAGAGGGGACACATGTTGATGTAGAAGAGACATGAAGAAGAGGGGACACATGTTAATGTAGAAGAGACATGAAGAAGAGGGGACACATGTTGATGAAGAAGAGACATGAAGAAGAGGGGACACATGTTGATGAAGAAGAGACATGAAGAAGAGGGGACACATGTTGATGTAGAAGAGACATGAGGAAGAGGGGACACATGTTGATATAGAAGAGACATGAAGAAGAGGGGACACATGTTGATGAAGAAGAGACATGAAGAAGAGGGGACACATGTTGATGAAGAAGAGACATGAAGAAGAGGGGACACATGTTGATGTAGAAGAGACATGAAGAAGAGGGGACACATGTTGATGAAGAAGAGACATGAAGAAGAGGGGACACATGTTGATGTAGAAGAGACATGAAGAAGAGGGGACACATGTTGATGAAGAAGAGACATGAAGAAGAGGGGACACATGTTGATGTAGAAGAGACATGAAGAAGAGGGGACACATGTTGATGAAGAAGAGACATGAAGAAGAGGGGACACATGTTGATGTAGAAGAGACATGAGGAAGAGGGGACACATGTTGATGAAGAAGAGACATGAAGAAGAGGGGACACATGTTGATGTAGAAGAGACATGAAGAAGAGGGGACACATGTTGATGAAGAAGAGACATGAAGAAGAGGGGACACATGTTGATGAAGAAGAGACATGAAGAAGAGGGGACACATGTTGATGAAGAAGAGACATGAGGAAGAGGGGACACATGTTGATGTAGAAGAAACATGAGGAAGAGGGGACACATGTTGATGAAGAAGAGACATGAGGAAGAGGGGACACATGTTGATGTAGAAGAGACATGAAGAAGAGGGGACACATGTTGATGAAGAAGAGACATGAAGAAGAGGGGACACATGTTGATGAAGAAGAGACATGAAGAAGAGGGGACACATGTTGATGTAGAAGAGACATGAAGAAGAGGGGACACATGTTGATGAAGAAGAGACATGAAGAAGAGGGGACACATGTTGATGTAGAAGAGACATGAAGAAGAGGGGACACATGTTGATGAAGAAGACATGAAGAAGAGGGGACACATGTTGATGAAGAAGAGACATGAAGAAGAGGGGACACATGTTGATGAAGAAGAGACATGAAGAAGAGGGGACACATGTTGATGAAGAAGAGACATGAAGAAGAGGGGACACATGTTGATGTAGAAGAGACATGAAGAAGAGGGGACACATGTTGATGTAGAAGAGACATGAAGAAGAGGGGACACATGTTGATGAAGAAGAGACATGAGGAAGAGGGGACACATGTTGATGTAGAAGAGACATGAGGAAGAGGGGACACATGTTGATGAAGAAGAGACATGAAGAAGAGGGGACACATGTTGATGAAGAAGAGACATGAAGAAGAGGGGACACATGTTGATGTAGAAGAGACATGAAGAAGAGGGGACACATGTTGATGTAGAAGAGACATGAAGAAGAGGGGACACATGTTGATGAAGAAGAGACATGAGGAAGAGGGGACACATGTTGATGTAGAAGAGACATGAGGAAGAGGGGACACATGTTGATGAAGAAGAGACATGAAGAAGAGGGGACACATGTTGATGAAGAAGAGACATGAAGAAGAGGGGACACATGTTGATGTAGAAGAGACATGAAGAAGAGGGGACACATGTTGATGAAGAAGAGACATGAAGAAGAGGGGACACATGTTGATGAAGAAGAGACATGAAGAAGAGGATTTTGCATAAAGTGACCTTTAAAGCTTAAATAAGTGTAACCCTAATGAAATGTAACTGTTGTCCTGGGAATGGCACATGCACTTCATGTTGAACACAAATACCTGTACTTTCTACTTCTTACATGTTGAACCCATGTAAGGGATGTGTGTACTTCTACTTGAGTAAGGGATGTGTGTACGTCTACTCGAGTAAGGGATGTGTGTACTTCTACTCGAGTAAGGGATGTGTGTACTTCTACTTGAGTAAGGGATGTGTGTACGTCTACTCGAGTAAGGGATGTGTGTACGTCTACTCGAGTAAGGGATGTGTGTACGTCTACTCGAGTAAGGGATGTGTGTACTTCTACTCGAGTAAGGGATGTGTGTACTTCTACTCGAGTAAGGGATGTGTGTACTTCTACTCGAGTAAGGGATGTGTGTACTTCTACTCGAGTAAGGGATGTGTGTACGTCTACTCGAGTAAGGGATGTGTGTACTTCTACTCGAGTAAGGGATGTGTGTACGTCTACTCGAGTAAGGGATGTGTGTACTTCTACTCGAGTAAGGGATGTGTGTACGTCTACTCGAGTAAGGGATGTGTGTACGTCTACTCGAGTAAGGGATGTGTGTACGTCTACCTGAGTAAGGGATGTGTGTACTTCTACTCGAGTAAGGGATGTGTGTACTTCTACTCGAGTAAGGGATGTGTGTACGTCTACTCGAGTAAGGGATGTGTGTACTTCTACTCGAGTAAGGGATGTGTGTACGTCTACTCGAGTAAGGGATGTGTGTACGTCTACTCGAGTAAGGGATGTGTGTACGTCTACCTGAGTAAGGGATGTGTGTACTTCTACTTGAGTAAGGGATGTGTGTAAGTCTACTTGAGTAAGGGATGTGTGTACTTCTACTCGAGTAAGGGATGTGTGTACTTCTACTCGAGTAAGGGATGTGTGTACGTCTACTCGAGTAAGGGATGTGTGTACTTCTACTCGAGTAAGGGATGTGTGTACGTCTACTCGAGTAAGGGATGTGTGTACGTCTACTTGAGTAAGGGATGTGTGTACGTCTACTTGAGTAAGGGATGTGTGTACTTCTACTCGAGTAAGGGATGTGTGTACGTCTACTCGAGTAAGGGATGTGTGTACGTCTACTCGAGTAAGGGATGTGTGTACGTCTACCTGAGTAAGGGATGTGTGTACTTCTACTTGAGTAAGGGATGTGTGTACGTCTACTTGAGTAAGGGATGTGTGTACGTCTACTCGAGTAAGGGATGTGTGTACGTCTACCTGAGTAAGGGATGTGTGTACTTCTACTTGAGTAAGGGATGTGTGTACTTCTACTTGAGTAAGGGATGTGTGTACGTCTACTTGAGTAAGGGATGTGTGTACTTCTACTCGAGTAAGGGATGTGTGTACGTCTACTCAAATCATTGAAAAAGTAGTATTTCAACAGTTGAGTAACTTCTTGCATTTAAATAACTGTTTGGATGTGTTCCAGTCAGGATTTCGTCCAAACCACAGCACTGAGACTGCTCTTGTAAAGGTCTTCAATGACATCCACTTAAACACAGACAGTGGCAGAACTTCAGTGTTAGTATTATTAGATCTCAGTGCTGCGTTTGACACTGTTGACCACAACATATTACTAGACCGACTAGAAAACTGGGTGGGACTTTCGGCAACAGTTCTAAATTGGTTTGAGTCCTACTTAAAGGACAGAAAAAACTTTATTTCTATAGGTAAATACACATCTGAGTTGACAAATATGACATGTGGGGTACCTCAAGGCTCCATCTTGGGGCCTCTTCTCTTTAACATCTACATGCTACCACTGGCTCAGATAATGAAAAACAACAAAATAAGTTACCATAGCTATGCGGATGACACACAAATTTACGTAACAATTTCACCAGGAGACTATGCTCCAATTCAAACACTGAGTAAGTGCATTGAACAAATCAATGACTGGATGTGTCAGAACTTTCTCCAATTAAACAAAGATAAAACTGAGGTAATGGTTTTTGGAGCCAAGGCAGAACGTATAAAAGTTAGCGCTGAGTTTCAGTCTGCAATGTTCAAAACAACAGATACAGCCAGAAATCTAGGTGTAGTCATGGACTCTGACCTGAGTCTCAACAGTCACATTAAAACAGTTACTAAATCAGCCTACTATCACCTAAAGAACATATCCAGGATTAAAAGACTAATGTCACAGCAGGATTTGGAAAAACTTGTCCATGCTTTTATCTTCAGTAGACTCGACTACTGCAATGGTGTCTTTACAGGTCTCACTAACAAATCTATTAGAAAGCTGCAGCTGATTCAGAACGCCGCTGCTCGAGTCCTCACTAACACTAAGAAAGTGGATCACATCACTCCTGTTCTGAAGTCCTTACACTGGCTTCCTGTGTGTCAAAGAATAGATTTCAAAATATTGTTGCTGGTTTATAAAGCTTTGAATGGTTTAGGCCCAAAATACATGTCTGACCTACTGCTAAATTATGAACCATCCAGAACTCTCAGGTCTTCAGGGACTGGTCAGCTTTCTGTCCCCAGAGTCAGAACTAAACATGGTAAAGCAGCATTCAGTTATTATGCTCCGAATATCTGGAACAAACTCCCAGAAACCTGCAGGTCCGCTGCGACTCTTACTACTTTTAAATCCAGCAAGAAGACTTTTCTTTTTGCCGCTGCTTTTAATTGAACTATTCACATCTTAAACTGCACTGTAACTTTTAACTTTTATCCATGTATTTTTTCTTTTAATGTTTATTTTATTATCTTTCCTTTTTAATGACTGATTTTAAATGCCATTTTTAAAATGTCTTCCATTTTTGTAAAGCACTTTGAATTACCTTGTGTTGAAAGGTGCTATATAAATAAACTTGCCTTGCCTTGCCTTGCCTTACTCGAGTAAGGGATGTGTGTACGTCTACTCGAGTAAGGGATGTGTGTACGTCTACTCGAGTAAGGGATGTGTGTACGTCTACTCGAGTAAGGGATGTGTGTACGTCTACTCGAGTAAGGGATGTGTGTACTTCTACTCGAGTAAGGGATGTGTGTACGTCTACTCGAGTAAGGGATGTGTGTACGTCTACTCGAGTAAGGGATGTGTGTACGTCTACTCGAGTAAGGGATGTGTGTACGTCTACTCGAGTAAGGGATGTGTGTACTTCTACTCGAGTAAGGGATGTGTGTACGTCTACTCGAGTAAGGGATGTGTGTACGTCTACTCGAGTAAGGGATGTGTGTACTTCTACTCGAGTAAGGGATGTGTGTACTTCTACTCGAGTAAGGGATGTGTGTACGTCTACTTGAGTAAGGGATGTGTGTACTTCTACTTGAGTAAGGGATGTGTGTACTTCTACTTGAGTAAGGGATGTGTGTACTTCTACTTGAGTAAGGGATGTGTGTACGTCTACTTGAGTAAGGGATGTGTGTACTTCTACTCGAGTAAGGGATGTGTGTACTTCTACTCGAGTAAGGGATGTGTGTACGTCTACCTGAGTAAGGGATGTGTGTACTTCTACTCGAGTAAGGGATGTGTGTAAGGGATGTGTGTACTTCTACTCGAGTAAGGGATGTGTGTACTTCTACTTGAGTAAGGGATGTGTGTACTTCTACTTGAGTAAGGGATGTGTGTACGTCTACTTGAGTAAGGGATGTGTGTACTTCTACTCGAGTAAGGGATGTGTGTACTTCTACTCGAGTAAGGGATGTGTGTACTTCTACTCGAGTAAGGGATGTGTGTACTTCTACTCGAGTAAGGGATGTGTGTACGTCTACTCGAGTAAGGGATGTGTGTACGTCTACTCGAGTAAGGGATGTGTGTACTTCTACTCGAGTAAGGGATGTGTGTACGTCTACTCGAGTAAGGGATGTGTGTACGTCTACTCGAGTAAGGATGTGTGTACTTCTACTCGAGTAAGGGATGTGTGTACTTCTACTCGAGTAAGGGATGTGTGTACTTCTACTCGAGTAAGGGATGTGTGTACGTCTACCTGAGTAAGGGATGTGTGTACGTCTACTCGAGTAAGGGATGTGTGTACTTCTACTCGAGTAAGGGATGTGTGTACTTCTACTCGAGTAAGGGATGTGTGTACTTCTACTCGAGTAAGGGATGTGTGTACGTCTACTCGAGTAAGGGATGTGTGTACGTCTACTCGAGTAAGGGATGTGTGTACTTCTACTCGAGTAAGGGATGTGTGTACGTCTACTCGAGTAAGGGATGTGTGTACGTCTACTCGAGTAAGGGATGTGTGTACTTCTACTCGAGTAAGGGATGTGTGTACGTCTACTCGAGTAAGGGATGTGTGTACGTCTACTCGAGTAAGGGATGTGTGTACGTCTACCCGAGTAAGGGATGTGTGTACGTCTACTCGAGTAAGGGATGTGTGTACGTCTACTCGAGTAAGGGATGTGTGTACTTCTACTCGAGTAAGGGATGTGTGTACGTCTACCTGAGTAAGGGATGTGTGTACGTCTACTCGAGTAAGGGATGTGTGTACTTCTACTCGAGTAAGGGATGTGTGTACGTCTACTCGAGTAAGGGATGTGTGTACGTCTACTCGAGTAAGGGATGTGTGTACGTCTACCCGAGTAAGGGATGTGTGTACGTCTACTCGAGTAAGGGATGTGTGTACGTCTACCCGAGTAAGGGATGTGTGTACTTCTACTTGAGTAAGGGATGTGTGTACTTCTAATTGAGTAAGGGATGTGTGTACGTCTACTCGAGTAAGGGATGTGTGTACTTCTACTCGAGTAAGGGATGTGTGTACTTCTACTCGAGTAAGGGATGTGTGTACTTCTACTCGAGTAAGGGATGTGTGTACGTCTACTCGAGTAAGGGATGTGTGTACGTCTACTCGAGTAAGGGATGTGTGTACGTCTACCCGAGTAAGGGATGTGTGTACGTCTACTTGAGTAAGGGATGTGTGTACTTCTACTTGAGTAAGGGATGTGTGTACTTCTACTTGAGTAAGGGATGTGTGTACTTCTACTTGAGTAAGGGATGTGTGTACTTCTACTTGAGTAAGGGATGTGTGTACGTCTACCTGAGTAAGGGATGTGTGTACGTCTACTTGAGTAAGGGATGTGTGTACTTCTACTTGAGTAAGGGATGTGTGTACTTCTACTTGAGTAAGGGATGTGTGTACTTCTACTTGAGTAAGGGATGTGTGTACGTCTACTTGAGTAAGGGATGTGTGTACTTCTACTTGAGTAAGGGATGTGTGTACTTCTACTCGAGTAAGGGATGTGTGTACTTCTACTCGAGTAAGGGATGTGTGTACTTCTACTCGAGTAAGGGATGTGTGTACGTCTACTCGAGTAAGGGATGTGTGTACGTCTACTCGAGTAAGGGATGTGTGTACTTCTACTCGAGTAAGGGATGTGTGTACGTCTACTCGAGTAAGGGATGTGTGTACGTCTACTCGAGTAAGGGATGTGTGTACTTCTACTCGAGTAAGGGATGTGTGTACGTCTACCTGAGTAAGGGATGTGTGTACGTCTACTCGAGTAAGGGATGTGTGTACTTCTACTCGAGTAAGGGATGTGTGTACGTCTACTCGAGTAAGGGATGTGTGTACGTCTACCCGAGTAAGGGATGTGTGTACGTCTACTCGAGTAAGGGATGTGTGTACGTCTACTTGAGTAAGGGATGTGTGTACGTCTACCTGAGTAAGGGATGTGTGTACTTCTACTTGAGTAAGGGATGTGTGTACTTCTACTTGAGTAAGGGATGTGTGTACTTCTACTTGAGTAAGGGATGTGTGTACTTCTACTTGAGTAAGGGATGTGTGTACGTTTGCCCTCTCTGCTGACGGGGATCCTGATGAAGAGGAAAGAATAAAGAATAAAGGACACAGACCTTGTCGGCCAGGTCCCAGATGCGGATGGTGCCGTCGTCGCTGGCGGAGATGAAGACGTCTTTGAAGGGGTGGGCGGCGAGCCCCCAGATGCCCCCCTGAGTGTGGCCGTTGATCATGGTGTTTGAGGCGGCGTTCTTCTCCCCCACCTCGATGATCTCCCCGTCCTTCGTGCCCACCAGGATCTTCCCCTGAGGACAGAGAGGAGGTCAGGAACACCTCTGGACTCACAGGGTCTCAACAGGGGGTCCTCAGAGGAAGGAGCATCAGGACTAAAACCACCAGACTCAGAGACAGTTTCATCCCACATAAGACTATCAAACACCTGAACCTTTGACCCATCCAGAACATTCATCTGTTTGCATCTTGCTAATTATTTATCTATATAGCATTCCATCTACTCTTCTGGCACTATTTGATCTGTGTTATTAGTTCTATCTATATTCATGTTGCTCTGTTGGAGGAGGACTCCAGTTGTTCATCTCCATATCTCCACTGTAGCTGCTACATGATCATGAAGAATTTAGAGCCGTACCTTCCCCCTGCAGACGGACCTCACGTTCTCCACCGGCTGACCCGTCTCCAGCTGGAAGGCTCTGCAGCGTTTCATCTCCTGATCCCACAGCTTCACCGCTCCACCCTCCTTCGTCCTGAACACAGCAGCATTACTCACTACACCTGAACACACCACGTTACTCACTACACCTGAACACACCACGTTACTCACTACACCTGAACACACCACGTTACTCTCTACACCTGAACACACCACGTTACTCACTACACCTGAACACACCACGTTACTCTCTACACCTGAACACACCACGTTACTCACTACACCTGAACACACCACGTTACTCACTACACCTGAACACACCACGTTACTCACTACACCTGATCACACTACACCTGAACACACCACGTTACTCACTACACCTGAACACACTACACCTGAACACACCACGTTACTCACTACACCTGAACACACTACACCTGAACACACCACGTTACTCACTACACCTGATCACACCACGTTACTCACTACACCTGAACACACTACACCTGAACACACCACGTTACTCACTACACCTGAACACACCACGTTACTCTCTACACCTGAACACACTACACCTGAACACACCACGTTACTCACTACACCTGAACACACCACGTTACTCTCTACACCTGAACACACCACGTTACTCACTACACCTGAACACACCACGTTACTCTCTACACCTGAACACACCGCGTTACTCACTACACCTGATCACACCACGTTACTCACTACACCTGAACACACCACGTTACTCACTACACCTGATCACACTACACCTGAACACACCACGTTACTCACTACACCTGAACACACCGCGTTACTCTCTACACCTGAACACACCACGTTACTCTCTACACCTGATCACACCACGTTACTCTCTACACCTGAACACACCACGTTACTCACTACAGCTGATCACACCACGTTACTCTCTACACCTGAACACACCATGTTACTCACTACACCTGATCACACCACGCTACTCACTACACCTGATCACACCACGTTACTCACTACACCTGAACACACCACGTTACTCACTACACCTGATCACACCACGTTACTCACTACACCTGAACACACCACGTTACTCACTACACCTGAACACACCACGTTACTCACTACACCTGAACACACCACGCTACTCACTACACCTGATCACACCACGCTACTCACTACACCTGAACACACCACGTTACTCTCTACACCTGAACACACCACGTTACTCACTACACCTGATCACACCACGCTACTCACACCACGCTACTCACTACACCTGAACACACCACGCTACTCACTACACCTGAACACACCACGTTACTCACTACACCTGAACACACCACGCTACTCACTACACCTGATCACACCACGTTACTCACTACACCTGAACACACCACGTTACTCACTACACCTGAACACACCACGTTACTCACTACACCTGAACACACCACGTTACTCACTACACCTGAACACACCACGTTACTCACTACACCTGAACACACCACTCTACAGCTGTCCATCACACACAGGTGCATGAAGCAGAGATCTAGTGGTCAAAGGCAATCCCAGTGAAGACTAACCCTATAAATGGCTATGGCGGCGCATGCACAACGCGAGGCTCAGCGTCTCTCTAGAGTTAGCAAAATAGTATTTATTTGTCTACTTTTATTAAGTTTGTTCACTCGGAACAGCCTTTCACTAACTTCATACAGCCGACAACAACTCCTGGACATTGGACTATGCCATTCCAACTCTTTAACAGATGATCTCCGTATCATTCCGGAGATCGCCAGATCACCGGAGCCTGCTCAGTCTACTCTGCCGAGCGGAAGTGCCCACAGGCGGCGTAGAGACCGTAAACATAGGCGGGGGAAGCGAGGAGGGCTAAGAGCTAGGCTGAAGCTAACGCCACATCGGCTCGCCCTACCCAGCATTTTCCTCGCCAATCTGCGGTCTATAATTAACAAAATGGATGAGATACGACTACGCATCGTCAACCACAAACGGATGATGGACTGCAACATCATGATCTTCACGGAAACATGGCTAAACAGCGGCGTTCCCAATAGCGCCGTTGAGCTAACTGGGCGTATCTTCTTCAGAGCAGACAGATCAGCTGACGACTCCGGTAAGACCAGGGGAGGGGGGCTGTGCATGTATGTAAACAAAGCATGGTGTACAGACTCTGCCATTGTCAGCAGTCACTGCTCAGCTCATCTGGAATATCTTTTTATTAAATGCAGACCCTTCTATCTACCCAGAGAGTTCACAGCAATCCTAGTAATAGCCGTATATGTAGCCCCAGATGCTAATGCAAAAATTGCAATGAGAGAACTGCACACAGCCATTAGCCAACAACAAACTGCACACCCTGAGGCAGCTTTCATTGTTGCGGGTGATTTCAATCACTCCAGTTTGAAGACTGTACTCCCCAAATTTCGACAACATGTCTCCTGCCCCACGAGAGGCAACAAAACATTGGATCATGTTTACACCAACATGGCCAATGCATACAATGCCATTCCCCTCCCCCACCTGGGTCAGTCTGACCACCTCTCACTGTTCCTTTACCCCACATACACACCACTCATCAAACGGGTGAAACCCACAGTGAGGACTGTCAAGGTATGGCCTGAGGAGGCAGACTCTATGCTACAGGACAAGTTTCAACACACAACCTGGAGTGTGTTTGCCACCCAGGCCACCTTGGATTCCCATACAGACAGTGACCACTACGCCTCCTCCGTACTGGAATACATCAGCACCACCATCAACAGTGTCACCACTCTGAAGCAGATAACAACCTACCCAAACCAGAAGCCGTGGATGAATAAAGAAGTTTGCCAACTACTGAAGGCACGAAACATCGCCTTCAGATCAGGTGACGAACGGGCTTACAGTTTATCCAGGGCTCACCTAAAGAAGGGCATTAGGAAGGCCAAGCACTGCTACAAACTGAGGATTGAGGAGCACTTCAACAACTCCGACCCCCGAAGAATGTGGCAGGGCATTCAGGCCATCACTGACTACAAACCCACCACCCCCTCTCTCCCGTCAAACGACGTCTCCTTCCTCAACGAGCTGAATCATTTCTATGCTCGCTTCGACAGGGACAACCAGGAGACAGCCACTAAGGCTGTCCCCCCTGCAGACCACCAGCCCCTCACACTCTCACCTTCTGACGTCTTCACCACACTGAGCAGGATTAATGCACGCAAGGCTGCTGGACCCGATGGCATCCCAGGCCGCATTCTCAGGGCCTGTGCTGGGCAACTGACTGAGGTCATGACGGACATTTTTAACCTGTCCCTGGCCCAAACTGTTGTCCCCACGTGCTTTAAAACCACCGCCATAGTGCCAGTGCCCAAACACTCTGCTGCAGCAGGCCTGAATGACTTCCGTCCCGTTGCACTTACACCCATTCTCATGAAGTGCTTCGAGAAGTTGGTCCTAGCACAGCTTAAATCCCGCCTATCACCGACACTGGACCCCCATCAATTTGCATACCGGACTAATAGGAGCACGGAAGATGCTGTTTCCATAACACTTCACACCGTCCTCTCACATCTGGAAAAAACCAACTCCTATGCAAGATTGCTGTTCATCGACTTCAGTTCAGCCTTCAACACCGTCATCCCCTCCAAACTAATCACAAAACTCAACGACCTGGGCATCGACGCTCCCCTTTGTAATTGGATTTTAGACTTTCTAACCAACAGACCCCAGCATGTCAGGTTAGATCGTCTCTCTTCCATGACCCTCAGCCTAAATACCGGTGTCCCACAAGGCTGCGTGCTGAGCCCCCTCCTCTACTCCATCTTCACCCACGACTGTACCCCTGTACATGGTTCAAACACCATCATCAAGTATGCAGACGACACAACGGTGATTGGCCTCATCCACAACAACGATGAGACTGCCTACAGGGAGGAGGTTCAGCATCTGACTGAGTGGTGTGCCGACAATAACCTGGCCCTCAACACAACAAAATAACTCATTGTGGACTTCAGGAAATCGAAAGGCAACACACACACTCCCATCCACATAAATGGAACGGCGGTGGAGCGTGTGTCTAGCTTCAAGTTCCTGGGGGTCCACATATCCGATAACCTCTCATGGTCCAACAATACCACCAGCCTAGTAAAGAAGGCTCACCAGCGTCTCTTCTTCCTGAGGAGACTAAAGAAAGATCACCTCTCTCCTCAGATTCTGGTGAACTTTTACCGCTGCACCATTGAGAGCATCCTGACCAGCTGTATCACAGCCTGGTATGGGAACTGCACAATGCTCAACAGGAAGGCACTGCAGAGGGTGACGAAAATCGCCCAACGCATCATCGGTGTCCCACTCCCTGCCATCGAGGACATCCAGGGGATACGGTGTTTGCAGAGGGCGCACAACATCTTCAAAGACACCTCTCATCCTGCAAACTATCTGTTCGTCCTCCTACCCTCGGGGAGGCGCCTCAGGAGCCTCCAGTCCAAGACCAGCAGGTTCAGGGACAGCTTCTTCCCCAGGGCTGTTACCCTGTTGAACTCTGCCCGCTGACAGACTCTAGCCCATACCCACCACCCACCTGTTTATATATTTTACTGTCAATGCCGTTTATATTTGACTGTCAATGCCGTTTACACTGTATAGATTAATCTGTTTATAGCCTATTTTTAATTATTCTATTTATAATAATTCCATGTATAATTATTCTTACTATGTAGACTCCTGCACTGCTATTTTGCACTTCTGGTCAGATGCCTAAACTCACATTTCGTCACTAGTACATGTACTACGTAATGACAATAAAGTTGAATCTGAATCTGAATCTGAAATACCAATGATCCCATGTAATTAGCATACTCTCCATTATTAGCGTTAGCATACTGGTTTCTGACAGGAAGTTAAACCGGTCATTAAATCTTCTATCATCTGTTTTATATTGCTGTGAAAGCATCTCCAGCCTCTCATTAAAACTACATTTCACAAGATAGCATTGAACACTTGGACAGGTATTCATTTTAACTGAAAAACCTTGAACGCAACATAATGCGAATCTATGGAACTCCTGAGTGCTACTAGTAGCTAACAGCTAACGGGTAACAGCTAACGGCTAACAGCTAACAGCTAACAGCTAACGGCTAACAGCGGACGGCTAACGGTTAACAGCTAACAGCGGACAGCTAACGGTTAACAGCGGACAGCTAACGGTTAACAGCGGACAGCTAACGGCTAACAGCGGACGGCTAACGGTTAACAGCGGACAGCTAACGGTTAACAGCGGACAGCTAACGGCTAACAGGTAACGGCTAACAGCGGACAGCTAACGGTTAACAGCTAACGGCTAACAGCTAACGGCAAACAGCTAACGGCTAACAGCTAACGGTTAACAGCTAACAGTTAACAGCTAACAGTTGACAGCTAACAGTTGACAGCTAACAGTTGACAGCTAACGTTTGTATCTCTCCTGCAGATTTTGACACTGATTTGTATGCTACGCTAACCATTATTTTAGCAGGATGACACTTCTGAATGTCTTTACTCACGGCCTCTCCTTCCCCCCGGTGACGATCAGGCCGTCCCTCAGCGTGGTGTACATCGTGAACACCGGGCCGCTGTGCGCCTTCGCCACCACGCGCACCAGGAAGTGCTCCCGCCACACGAACACGTCTCCGTTGATGGCGCCGGTGAATGTCAGGTTGTTCTGGAGGAGACAGACACTGAGCCATCAGGAGAATAGAAACCTGACAGAGTTCATGTGAGAAGAGATTTAAAGGTTTCCTATCATGCAAAAGTCACTTTCTGATGTCTTCTCTACATCACCATGTGTCCCCGGTGTGTCAGGAGACTCACATAGTGATGTCTTCTCTACATCACCATGTGTCCCCGGTGTGTCAGGAGACTCACATAGTGATGTCTTCTCTACATCACCATGTGTCCCCGGTGTGTCAGGAGACTCTCAAAGTGATGTCTTTTCTACATCACCATGTGTCCCCGGTGTGTCAGGAGACTCTCAAAGTGATGTCTTCTCTATATCACCATGTGTCCCCGGTGTGTCAGGAGACTCACAAAGTAATGTCTTCTCTACATCACCATGTGTCCCCGGTGTGTCAGGAGACTCTCAAAGTGATGTCTTCTCTACATCACCATGTGTCCCCGGTGTGTCAGGAGACTCTCAAAGTGATGTCTTCTCTATATCACCATGTGTCCCCGGTGTGTCAGGAGACTCACAAAGTAATGTCTTCTCTACATCACCATGTGTCCCCGGTGTGTCAGGAGACTCTCAAAGTGATGTCTTCTCTACATCACCATGTGTCCCCGGTGTGTCAGGAGACTCACAAAGTAATGTCTTCTCTACATCACCATGTGTCCCCGGTGTGTCAGGAGACTCACAAAGTGATGTCTTCTCTACATCACCATGTGTCCCCGGTGTGTCAGGAGACTCACAAAGTAATGTCTTCTCTACATCACCATGTGTCCCCGGTGTGTCAGGAGACTCTCAAAGTGATGTCTTCTCTACATCACCATGTGTCCCCGGTGTGTCAGGAGACTCACTAAGTGATGTCTTCTCTACATCACCATGTGTCCCCGGTGTGTCAGGAGACTCACTAAGTGATGTCTTCTCTACATCACCATGTGTCCCCGGTGTGTCAGGAGACTCTCAAAGTGATGTCTTCTCTACATCACCATGTGTCCCCGGTGTGTCAGGAGACTCACAAAGTGATGTCTTCTCTACATCACCATGTGTCCCCGGTGTGTCCCCGGTGTGTCCCCGGTGTGTCCCCGGTGTGTCAGGAGACTCACAAAGTGATGTCTTCTCTACATCACCATGTGTCCCCGGTGTGTCCCCGGTGTGTCCCCGGTGTGTCAGGAGACTCTCAAAGTGATGTCTTCTTTACATCACCATGTGTCCCCGGTGTGTCCCCGGTGTGTCAGGAGACTCTCAAAGTGTCAGGAAATAAACCCCTCTCTCTTTTCCTCCGTACCCACATCTCTAAAAACGGGGGAACAACGGAGCTGATCCAGATTTGCTGCGTCATGACGACATTACTCAAATGTGGGCGGGCTTTACACCCACGGGCCAATCAGAAACGTTGCTGTCAGAAACAATGAGACGTGTTTTGGTATTTTGAGCAAAACACGTCATAGACATGTTTTTTAAATATTTGTATATATCTGAGACCCATAATATATGCCTATAAATGGTAGGAGATGTTGAACTTACAGCACCGAAGGCCACGGACAGCATGGTCTGCATGCGGCCGTCCTCCACCACTCCGATCACTCCCTTCTTGTAAACCAGCGAGCCGCCCACCAGGGTCCAGAACTTGATGTGTTTGATTCCCACCGACACAAACTGGGTGTCTGAGTCCGGTCTGAACTCCACCACGAAGATCCGCTCAGCATGGCCGCCTTTACAGGTCACCTTGGTGCCTGGGGGGGGGGGGGGGGCAGAGGGCAGCTTCAGAGAGGTGGTACTCTGTGGTGCATTTAGAGTACATGATACGCCACCTCCACACAGTGATGGTGTGTTCAGGCTCCACCTACCTTCCTGCCACCTCCACACAGTGATGGTGTGTTCAGGCTCCACCTACCTTCCTGCCACCTCCACACGGTGATGGTGTGTTCAGGCTCCACCTACCTTCCTGCCACCTCCACACGGTGATGGTGTGTTCAGGCTCCACCTACCTTCCTGCCACCTCCACACAGTGATGGTGTGTTCAGGCTCCACGTACCTTCCTGCCACCTCCACACAGTGATGGTGTGTTCAGGCTCCACGTACCTTCCTGCCACCTCCACACAGTGATGGTGTGTTCAGGCTCCACGTACCTTCCTGCCACCTCCACACGGTGATGGTGTGTTCAGGCTCCACCCCCACGGACAGCAGCAGCTTTCCTGTGGCGCTGAAGTTAACGTAGCCCACGCCTTTAGCATGAGAGCAGCGCAGGATGGAGAGCGTCTGCTTAGTGAGGGCGTCCCACACATGGATGGAGGGAGAGAGGCCTGTGGGGGAGAACCAGAGACATAGAACCAGGGCACTGAAGAACTAGGAACATAGAACCAGAGCACTGAAGAACTAGGAACCGAAGCATCTCTTAACACAGGACCTAAGGATTCAAGGAACCTTGGACCAGAGGACCTACGGCGGCACGGTGGGACTTAGGAACCTGGTCCCATATAACTTAGGAAACAAAAAAACATAGGACTGAGGAACCTAACAACCATTGGACTAAGGAAACTAAGTTCCAAAAAGACAAAGGAACCTAATGACTAGATACACATAGGACGTAGATACCAAATAAACATAGGATTTGGGAACATAGCAACTATTGGACTTAAAAACACAAGAGTCAGGTGCTCAGGCACTGTCAAACAACACAAGGGAAGGTTTTAAGGAACCAAAAGGGCGAGGAACCCAAGGTAATGAGCAGAAAAGGACTGGGGGAAACTTAAGAAATGAAGCACTTAGTAAGGAACCAAGAACAGAGAAACAGCAGAACAACGTAAACACAAAATGAAAGAGTTTATGGGCCAAGGAACCAGAGAGCCAAGGATTCAAGGACAGAGGAGGTAAGGAAGGAGAACCAAAGGAACCGAGGAGAGGAGGTGCTGAGTATCAGGGAGACTAACAGGCTAATATTCAAGAGGGGGGAGATGGGGGGGAACCATCTTATATTTAAGGACCAGGTTCTACTCTTAGGGACCGACATGCTTATTCAACAGAGAAACTGGTGAGTGTTTGGGATTCAGAGAGGAACCTCTAAACTGCATCTGAACACAGTTACAGAACCTTATTCACGCCTGGGGCCACGATCACATCCTGTCTGAACACAGTTACAGAGAACCTTATTCAGGCCTGGGGCCACGATCACATCCTGTCTGAACACAGTTACAGAACCTTATTCACGCCTGAGGCCACGATCACATCCTGTCTGAACACAGCTACAGAACCTTATTCAGGCCTGAGGCCATGATCACATCCTGTCTGAACACAGTTACAGAACCTTATTCACGCCTGAGGCCACGATCACATCCTGTCTGAACACAGCTACAGAACCTTATTCAGGCCTGAGGCCACGATCACATCCTGTCTGAACACAGTTACAGAGAACCTTATTCACGCCTGAGGCCACGATCACATCCTGTCTGAACACAGTTACAGAACCTTATTCACGCCTGAGGCCACGATCACAACCTGTCTGAACACAGTTACAGAGAACCTTATTCACGCCTGAGGCCACGATCACATCCTGTCTGAACACAGTTACAGAACCTTATTCACGCCTGAGGCCACGATCACATCCTGTCTGAACACAGTTACAGAACCTTATTCACGCCTGAGGCCACGATCACATCCTGTCTGAACACAGTATCAGAGAACCTTATTCACGCCTGAGGCCATGATCACATCCTGTCTGAACACAGTTACAGAACCTTATTCACGCCTGAGGCCACGATCACATCCTGTCTGAACACAGTTACAGAACCTTATTCACGCCTGGGGCCACGATCACATCCTGTCTGAACACAGTTACAGAACCTTATTCACGCCTGAGGCCACGATCACATCCTGTCTGAACACAGTTACAGAGAACCTTATTCACGCCTGAGGCCACAATCACATCCTGTCTGAACACAGTTACAGAACCTTATTCACGCCTGAGGCCACGATCACATCCTGTCTGAACACAGCTACAGAGAACCTTATTCACGCCTGAGGCCACGATCACATCCTGTCTGAACACAGCTACAGAGAACCTTATTCACGCCTGAGGCCACGATCACATCCTGTCTGAACACAGTTACAGAGAACCTTATTCACGCCTGAGGCCACGATCACATCCTGTCTGAACACAGTTACAGAACCTTATTCACGTCTGGGACCACGATCACATCCTGTCTGAACACAGTTACAGAGAACCTTATTCACGCCTGAGGCCACGATCACATCCTGTCTGAACACAGTTACAGAACCTTATTCACGCCTGGGGCCACGAACACATCCTGTCTGAACACAGTTACAGAACCTTATTCACGCCTGGGGCCACGAACACATCCTGTCTGAACACAGTATCAGAGAACCTTATTCACGCCTGAGGCCATGATCACATCCTGTCTGAACACAGTTACAGAGAACCTTATTCACGCCTGAGGCCATGATCACATCCTGTCTGAACACAGTAACAGAGAACCTTATTCACGCCTGAGGCCACGATCACATCCTGTCTGAACACAGCTACAGAGAACCTTATTCACGCCTGGGGCCACGATCACATCCTGTCTGAACACAGCTACAGAGAACCTTATTCACGCCTGAGGCCACGATCACATCCTGTCTGAACACAGCTACAGAGAACCTTATTCACGCCTGAGGCCACGATCACATCCTGTCTGAACACAGTTACAGAACCTTATTCACGCCTGAGGCCACGATCACATCCTGTCTGAACACAGTTACAGAACCTTATTCACGCCTGGGGCCACGATCACATCCTGTCTGAACACAGCTACAGAACCTTATTCACGCCTGAGGCCACGATCACATCCTGTCTGAACACAGCTACAGAGAACCTTATTCACGCCTGAGGCCACGATCACATCCTGTCTGAACACAGCTACAGAGAACCTTATTCACGCCTGGGGCCACGATCACATCCTGTCTGAACACAGCTACAGAACCTTATTCACGCCTGAAGCCACGATCACATCCTGTCTGAACACAGTTACAGAGAACCTTATTCACGCCTGAGGCCACGATCACATCAGCTACAGAGAACCTTATTCACGCCTGGGGCCACGATCACATCCTGTCTGAACACAGTTACAGAACCTTATTCACGCCTGGGGCCACGATCACATCCTGTCTGAACACAGCTACAGAACCTTATTCACGCCTGAGGCCACGATCACATCCTGTCTGAACACAGCTACAGAACCTTATTCACGCCTGAGGCCACGATCACATCCTGTCTGAACACAGCTACAGAGAACCTTATTCACGCCTGAGGCCACGATCACATCCTGTCTGAACACAGCTACAGAGAACCTTATTCACGCCTGGGGCCACGATCACATCCTGTCTGAACACAGCTACAGAACCTTATTCACGCCTGAGGCCACGATCACATCCTGTCTGAACACAGCTACAGAACCTTATTCACGCCTGAGGCCACGATCACATCCTGTCTGAACACAGTTACAGAGAACCTTATTCACGCCTGAGGCCACGATCACATCAGCTACAGAGAACCTTATTCACGCCTGGGGCCACGATCACATCCTGTCTGAACACAGTATCAGAGAACCTTATTCACGCCTGAGGCCACGATCACATCCTGTCTGAACACAGCTACAGAGAACCTTATTCACGCCTGAGGCCACGATCACATATTAGGTCCGTTACTGTTCCTAATTTATGCAAATGACATGTCATCAGCATGTGACTGCAACTTGTTCCTGTTCGCGGACGACTCAGCCCTGCTGGTCTCTGACAGGAGCAGATTGCAGGTTGAAAAAACCCTCAGCTCCGAGCTCGGCAGAATCTGCACCTGGCTCGCCGATAATAAATTATCATTACACCTGGGTAAAACAGAGTCCATTCTCTTCGGTTCGAAACATAATCTCAGCAAATCCGACGACTTCTCAGTTGCAGTGGGTGACATTATTGTCACAAGTAAGAAGGAAATTACATACCTAGGATCTATTCTTGAGGCAAACCTCTCCTGTGACAAAATGGCATCCAATGTAATAAAAAAAGTCAATCAAAGAACTAGATTCCTATACCGGATCTCCTCTCTGGTAAACAAAAACACCCTGAAAACTCTGGCAGGAGCACTCATTCAAGGGTACTATGACTATGCTTGCACGTCATGGTACCATAGCACCTCCAAGGCGCTAAAAATAAAACTTCAAACATCGCAAAATAAACTGGTCAGACTACTGCTTGACCTTTCATCTAGAACCCACCTCACCTCTGCCCACTTTGACAACCTAGGATGGCTTAGAGTAGACGACAGAGTACAGCTACTTGCAATGGGCCTGGTCTACAAGATCCACTACACCTCTATGGTACCCATGTACATGTCAAAATTCTTCCCAAAGGTCAAGGAATACCATGATCATAACACCAGAGGGAGCTCCACAAATCATGTAAAACCCAGATTTGGCACAAAAAAAGGGGAATACACGTTTCGCAATTATGCCACATCAAGGTGGAACGCTCTTCCCACAACTGTAAAGGAAAGTAAAACTATACTTACCTTCAAAACCTCTCTTAAAGAGCACCTTCGGGGGAAAGCATTGCAAAACTGGCCCCGGTAATGGTACAAATCTCAACCTGTCGTACAATGGACAGCTTCCCCCCCCCATCTATGTATATACTCGCATTTTAGACTCTGTTACTAACTGTATATCTGTAGACTTGGTATGTCTTAAATGTCCGGTTAGGATGTATTAGAACGAAATCTAAAATGAAAATTGTAAATAAGCCATCTGTATGTAAAAAACCACCTGTATGTAAATTGTAAATAAGCCATCTGTATGTCAAATATGTCTTATATGTCTTAAATGATATGATGAATTGGAAATGGGGGACCCTGATGTAAACAAGACGAAAGTCTTTCTCTGGTCTGCATCCCCTTAACAATTGTATGTTTTGAGCTGTACTGTACCCAATATACAAGCTGTTAATAAACTTTTCAATCAATCAATCAATCAAACATCCTGTCTGAACACAGCTACAGAGAACCTTATTCAGGCCTGAGGCCACGATCACATCCTGTCTGCACACAGCTACAGAGAACCTTATTCAGGCCTGAGGCCACGATCACATCCTGTCTCCTGAAGTCAAGATGCAAAATAACTCCAACCCACAGGTAGTGAAGTTGGAGAGTGGCAAACTGGTGAAATGGAAAGCGTCACCTTTTGCATAATTAGCTTCTGCTATCTGTTGTGGTGTACCCCAAGGCTCTGATTTAGGCCCTTTTGTATAATAACATGCCTCTTTACGTTTGGTTTAATCTAATAATAAGGTTAATTTAAACAGGAAGAGGTACTTTAGCTTTGTGGAACCTGGATAATTGTTTATTATAGAGAAAGAGTTTTAGGTAACAGAGGAAATGCTAAAAGTGGTGTTTTAGCATTTAGCATGTGCTTACTTCGAAACAAAGGCTAATGTGCGCGGGATAATGTGTAATGAGTTAAACACACCATCAGACCCTGCTTTATAAAGACCCTCTGAATCACAGTCTTACCACCAACAACACCAACTTACAGTAACACTAAGGTTAGCCCGGCTAGCTTAGCATGCTGCCGCTAATCAAGGCTTCTCCTTTAGTTTCTCGACGGCCATGCTCACACTAAAACAGAGACGTTAGAAAACTGTGTTTACAGAAGCTCCATCCACACTAAGGAGTAGCCTACACATATGTTCTCTAGATCAGAACATAATCATGTCAGCAACATGAAGCAGGAACCTGGCTTTATCACATGTTCATGTTTCTGTGATAGAAACGGGTTCTTAAAGTGTTCTAAGTCGTGTCTTGCATTAAATCAGGGGGGTCAAACTCACTTTCACCACGGGCCACATCAGCATTAAGGTTGCACTCAAAGGGCCCTTTAAGACTATATAAATACACATATATAAATATATAATATATATAAATAATGTATTATATCACATTACTGCCTCTGCATTGGATTATTATCGGATAGGGTAATAACTTCATAATTAACTGCGTCTGAAAGCAGAAGTCTGGGGCAAATAATTGCAAGACTCTTCAGTGTCACAAAATGAGATGCATTGTGGGACATGTAGTTTATGGGCAACGTGCTTCTGTAAAGCATGTAACCGTATAATTAACGTATTATATTCTTTGCAAACTCTTGCAGTCATAACATGAAGTCGCAGGCCTTGAGTTTGACCCCCTGCTTTAAAGGATCAATTGTTTTTATAAGTCCAGTTTCCTGTGGTTAGTGTGAATGGAGTCCCAGAGTGTTTTCATCAGACCTGTGGGGGGGGGGGCGAGCTACAAACAGACTGCTGATACTCACCGAACACCTCCGCCTCTACTCAGCCAACGACACGGGAACACGTTAACACGTTAACACATTAACACATTAAACTCTTCAGCATGTAAACAGGTGATCGATGAGAGGCAGCAGGACTCACCTGGCAGGTCAGCGAGGTCACCTGGGGATGAGGTGAGGCGTGACAATGAGGAAGCCGTGGAAAAGAAAAGAAAGGCAATGGGCAAAAAGCAGTTTGGTCATGCATGAGAAAAACATGGCTTTAATATGTGGAAACAGAAAGTCTGTAACACTGGAGCTAGCTGAAGAAGCTAACACTGTAGCTAGCTGAAGAAGCTAACACTGTAGTTAGCTGAAGAAGCTAACACTGTAGCTAGATGAAGAAGCTAACACTGTAGCTAGATGAAGAAGCTAACACTGTAGCTAGATGAAGAAGCTAACACTGTAGTTAGCTGAAGAAGCTAACACTGTAGTTAGCTGAAGAAGCTAACACTGTAGCTAGCTGAAGAAGCTAACACTGTAGTTAGCTGAAGAAGCTAACACTGTAGCTAGCTGAAGAAGCTAACACTGTAGCTAGCTGAATGAGCTAACAGGAAGTGACTGGCCTCACCGATCTGTCCCGTGGCGATGATGTTTTGGTATTTAGGATGCTGGTTGACGGTCAGACACAGGATGTCGTCGGTGTGCTCCAGGTAGAAACTCTGCGTTCCTGTTAGGAAACAGGAAGTCAACAGCAGAGTTCATCATGAACAGCGCTGTGTGTGTGTGTGTGTGTGTGTGTGTGTGTGTGTGTGTGTGTGTGTGTGTGTGTCTGTGTTTGTCTGTGTGGGGGGGGCACTGATGTGTGTGTGTGTGTCTTGTGTGTGTGTGTGTGTGTGTGTGTGTGTGTGTGTCTGTGTGTGTGTGTGTGTGTCTGTCTGTGTGTCTGTGTGTGTGTGTGTGTGTGTGTGTGTGTGTGTGTGTGTGTGTGTGTGTGTGTGTGTGTGTGTGTGTGTGTGTGTGCGTGCACTGACCGGCAGACAGGTTCTGGATGATGACGGTGGCCGCGGTGTGGAAGATGATGTCGTTGCCGTCGTTCAGGTAGTGCAGATTGTTGCGGCAGTCGAAGCCTCTGTAGCCGAACACGTGCTCCAGCACAAGCTCCTGAAACACAGCCAGATGCTCAGAGACTGGGAACTGAGTCTCTCTGGGAACTCTCAACATCCTGAGTCTCTCTAGGAACTCTCAACATCCTGAGTCTCTGGAACTCTCAACATCCTGAGTCTCTCTGGGAACTCTCAACATCCTGAGTCTCTCTAGGAACTCTCAACATCCTGAGTCTCTGGAACTCTCAACATCCTGAGTCTCTCTAGGAACTCTCAACACCCTGAGTCTCTCTGGGAACTCTCAACATCCTGAGTCTCTCTGGGAACTCTCAACATCCTGAGTCTCTCTGGGAACTCTCAACATCCTGAGTCTCTCTGGGAACTCTCAACATCCTGAGTCTCTCTGGGAACTCTCAACATCCTGAGTCTCTCTGGGAACTCTCAACATCCTGAGTCTCTCTGGGAACTCTCAACATCCTGAGTCTCTCTAGGAACTCTCAACATCCTGAGTCTCTCTGGGAACTCTCAACATCCTGAGTCTCTCTAGGAACTCTCAACATCCTGAGTCTCTCAGGGAACTCTCAACATCCTGAGTCTCTCTAGGAACTCTCAACATCCTGAGTCTCTCTAGGAACTCTCAACATCCTGAGTCTCTCTGGGAACTCTCAACATCCTGAGTCTCTCTAGGAACTCTCAACATCCTGAGTCTCTCTAGGAACTCTCAACATCCTGAGTCTCTCTAGGAACTCTCAACATCCTGAGTCTCTCTAGGAACTCTCAACATCCTGAGTCTCTCTGGGAACTCTCAACATCCTGAGTCTCTCTGGGAACTCTCACATCCTGAGTCTCTCTGGGAACTCTCAACATCCTGAGTCTCTCTAGGACTCTCAACATCCTGAGTCTCTCTGGGAACTCTCAACATCCTGAGTCTCTCTGGGAACTCTCAACATCCTGAGTCTCTCTAGGAACTCTCAACATCCTGAGTCTCTCTGGGAACTCTCAACATCCTGAGTCTCTCTGAGGAACTCTCAACATCCTGAGTCTCTCTGGGAACTCTCAACATCCTGAGTCTCTCTGGGAACTCTCAACATCCTGAGTCTCTCTGGGAACTCTCAACATCCTGAGTCTCTCTAGGAACTCTCAACATCCTGAGTCTCTCTGGGAACTCTCAACATCCTGAGTCTCTCTGGGAACTCTCAACATCCTGAGTCTCTCTGGGAACTCTCAACATCCTGAGTCTCTCTGGGAACTCTCAACATCCTGAGTCTCTCTAGGGAACTCTCAACATCCTGAGTCTCTCTGGGAACTCTCAACATCCTGAGTCTCTCTGGGAACTCTCAACATCCTGAGTCTCTCTAGGAACTCTCAACATCCTGAGTCTCTCTGGGAACTCTCAACATCCTGAGTCTCTCTGGGAACTCTCAACATCCTGAGTCTCTCTGGGAACTCTCAACATCCTGAGTCTCTCTGGGAACTCTCAACATCCTGAGTCTCTCTGGGAACTCTCAACATCCTGAGTCTCTCTAGGAACTCTCAACATCCTGAGTCTCTCTAGGAACTCTCAACATCCTGAGTCTCTCTGGGAACTCTCAACATCCTGAGTCTCTCTGGGAACTCTCAACATCCTGAGTCTCTCTGGGAACTCTCAACATCCTGAGTCTCTCTGGGAACTCTATGTTTGCTGTAGATATTGAATTGCTCTTTGTATGCACTGTTACTGTACAGTTTGATTACCATGCTGCTGTGTTTATTGTATTTTTGTAACTGGATCTTAACTTTCTTCGGGATAAATAAAGTCTTATCTTATCTTGAGAACAGTTGGAAATAATGCTTTGAACTCCAGGAACAAAAGATAAACCTTTCAACCCCACTGAGAGGGGGGGACAGATTTCACTCAATGATTACTGAATAACATGAAGCACTGACCTCCACCAGCTTCTTCTTCTTGCTCACGTTGTTCTTCAGAAGCTTCTCAGGCAGCGGAGCAGCACGACTCACTGGAGGCCTGCAGGAGGCAGGAGGCAGGAGGCAGGAGGCAGGAGGCAGGAAGCAGGAGGCAGGAGGCAGGAAGCAGGAAGCAGGAAACAGGAAACAGGATTCAGGAAACTGTGTGTGTGTGTGTGTGTGTGTGTGTGTGTGTGTGTGTGTGTGTGTGTGTGTGTGTGTGTGTGTGTGTGTGTGTGTGTGTGTGTACCTCTCCTCCACAGGCACTTCTCGGTGCTGTAGGTGAGGTCTGGTTCCCGTCATGTTCCTGATGCTCGCAGAGTAGATCTTAGTGATGTAATCCACCACCTTCTCCCGCGCCACGTCGCTGTCGTAGCCTGAAACACAGCCAGGTCCTGTCAGGACAAACTGAGGGCAGATTTAACCCACAGCCAGGTCCTGTCAGGACAAACTGAGGGCAGATTTAACCCACGCTTCATTTCTGCCCTTCTTATGCGTCTGTCATTTTGTCCGTTTACATTTTGTCCGTTTAGTTAGGGTACGTCAGCTGCTATAATCAATATCATAAAGGATTTCTGATTCCGATCCTGTAAAAAAAGGTCAGTTTTTCAGAATAAAAGCTCTGAAGGCGGAAATTTTTCTTAACAATTAAAGGTTTAGATTTTCAGAATAAAAGCTCGTAATGTTGTAACTTCTCTCATTAGATATCAGGTCAGATTCTCACAATAAAAGCTCTGAAGGAGGAAACTTCTCCTTGGTATAAACAACCGTCCCTTTTTCAGAATAAAAGCTCTGAATGTAGAAACTTCTCAAAAGTCAGGCCTTCAGAATAAGAGCTCACCCCCGTCCTCCTCCGGGTCGTCGTCGGACTCCTCGCTGTCCACAGCTCGGCTCTCTCTGCTCTCCTTGTGGCCTCCTCCTGGCTCTCGGGTCCAGATCATCAGCGCCGTGTCGCCCCCCCCCCACCGACAGCAGCAGCGAGTCGTCGTTGGACCAGCGCACGTTCGTCACGTTGGAGCTGTGACCCACGTACTTCTTAAACTTAGCAAACTGGCCCTGAACACAGAGGAGGGGTTACAGGAATACTGCTCTGACTCTGCTTCTCATGTATTCAGCATTTATTCAACCAGAAAGATCCCGGTGGTTGTGTTACGAACAAACGTTTAAATGAACAGTTAGCTTCCAGTGCTAACAGTTAGCTTCTACTGCTAACAGTTAGCTTCTACTGCTAACAGTTAGCTTCTACTGCTAACACTTAACCAGGGTTGTCAACTTTGGGTACCTGGCTGGAGTGAGATTTTGATATCATGGGTTTAATTACACATATGCGCACGAAATGACTGCTATCGTGTCAGCAGCGGGACCTTAGCATAGGATATATATACAATATATACAAATACACAATATTGGACACAGACTATAAAGGGCACACAGTTTCATTCACTAATGAAAGTCAAACATGTTTGTTTCCACTGTTTTATTGTGCGCCTGTCGCGATAAGCAATTAATTGACTTATCGTACGATAAATAAAAATGAACTCGATAACTTTTCTGACCTCGATAAATTGCCATTTACATGAGGATGTGACTAGCAGTTTGAAAGGATGTACTTGAATTATTATTATATATTATCATTATGTCAGTGGTCTAAAATGGTCATACAACGGTGCCGACAATATTATCGTTTATCGCAATAATTTCCGGGAAAATGTATCCAACAAAATGAATTATCGTGAGAGGCCTATACATGAAACACACACACACACACACATCTACAGACTTACTCCAAACTGCCAAATATATTAATTAACACACTCTCACTCTCATATACTCTTTGACTCGATGTTGGCCTAGTAGAACAATAAGCAGCAGACTGGATCTCAGATCTGCGCATGCGCCATGCGGGTCGGGGACCAACCGGCTCCCACTGCTCTGCTGTCTGTTAACGTTGTTAAGAGTGGTGGGGGCGGGGAGGGAGCGGATCGACAGCTTGAGCAGCTGTCAACTCAACATTGTAAATAACCAACCAAGAAGGATCGCCGGTTCATCTTGTTTTTGGCGTGAGAATAGTTTGGGCAGCGTGAGAGCGTGAGATTGAGAGTGAAAGCGTGTGTCACACGCCAGATGCGTGAGAGTTGGCAACCCTGCTTAACTTCTACTGCTAACACTTAACTTCTACTGCTAACAGTTAGCTTTTAGTGCTAACAGTTAGCTTTTAGTGCTAACAGTTAGCTTTTAGTGCTAACAGTTAGCCTCTACTGCTAACAGTTAGCTTTTAGTGCTAACAGTTAGCTTTTAGTGCTAACAGTTAGCCTCTACTGCTAACAGTTAGCTTTTAGTGCTAACAGTTAGCTTTTAGTGCTAACAGTTAGCCTCTACTGCTAACAGTTAGCTTTTAGTGCTAACAGTTAGCCTCTACTGCTAACAGTTAACTTCTACTGCTAACAGTTAGCCTCTACTGCTAACAGTTAACTTCTACTGCTAACAGTTAACCTCTACTGCTAACAGTTAGCTTTTAGTGCTAACAGTTAGCTTTTAGTGCTAACAGTTAGCCTCTACTGCTAACAGTTAGCTTTTAGTGCTAACAGTTAGCTTTTAGTGCTAACAGTTAGCCTCTACTGCTAACAGTTAGCTTTTAGTGCTAACAGTTAGCTTTTAGTGCTAACAGTTAGCCTCTACTGCTAACAGTTAACTTCTACTGCTAACAGTTAGCCTCTACTGCTAACAGTTAACTTCTACTGCTAACAGTTAGCCTCTACTGCTAACAGTTAACTTCTACTGCTAACAGTTAGCCTCTACTGCTAACAGTTAGCCTCTACTGCTAACAGTTAGCCTCTACTGCTAACAGCTGTGTTTATCATCCTTTCCAGCATGTTTTTTTAAATCCCAGCCGACAGGTCTCACCCGTGAGGGGAAGCTGAACAGTTTGAGGAACCCGAAGTCGTCCCCGGTGGCGAGCAGCTGGCGGTCCTTAGTGAGCGAGGCTGCGTTCAGTAGGCCGAGCGATGGCCACGCCCCCTCACAGGTATTCCCCGCCCCCTCACAGGTAGGCCACGCCCCCTCACAGGTGGGACCCAGCACAGACGTCCAGCTCGCCCACTCCAGCTTCTCAAACTGAAACACAAAGAGGAGGTGAGGATCTGCAGGAAGTGAGACTGGAGGAGCTCACCTCCTGCAGATCTACACACATCCTGTACTCAGGTAGAAGTACACACATCCTGTACTCAGGTAGAAGTACACACATCCTGTACTCAGGTAGAAGTACACACATCCTGTACTCAGGTAGAAGTACACACATCCTGTACTCAAGTAGAAGTACACATCCTGTACTCAAGTAGAAGTACACACATCCTTTACTCAAGTAGAAGTACAGATACTTGTGTTTAAAGATACTCTGGTGAAAGTAGAAGTACTGACTAAACTTCTTTACTCAAGTCAAAGTAAAGAGGGCTTTGAAATGTACTTCAGTAAAAAGTACCCATAGCTAGCAGCTGTTTTAAAGAGTACCTGACCTCCCTTTATATTAATAGAACAATAATGTCATTGTTAGCTAATGAATGTTTCCATGCTGAACAACGGCAACATGACAACGTTTTCATTGGTCCCTCTTCTTTAGAGAAGACCAGGAAATGATGGATACACCGGATCGTGTTCAAATCAATAGGCACGCAATGACTCTAAATAATAATGATCACGCCACCAAACACACATTCAAACTAAAGGAACCAGCCTGTTTGGGAAATGTGAGAAGTAGAAAGTACAGGTATTTGTGTTCAACATGTAAGAAGTAGAAAGTACAGGTATTTGTGTTCAACATGTAAGAAGTAGAAAGTACAGGTATTTGTGTTCAACATGTAAGAAGTAGAAAGTACAGGTATTTGTGTTCAACATGTAAGAAGTAGAAAGTACAGGTATTTGTGTTCAACATGTAAGAAGTAGAAAGTACAGGTATTTGTGTTCAACATGTGAGAAGTAGAAAGTACAGGTATTTGAGTTCAACATGTAAGAAGTAGAAAGTACAGGTATTTGTGTTCAACATGTAAGAAGTAGAAAGTACAGGTATTTGGGTTCAAAGTGTAAGAAGTCAAAGTAGAAAGTCCTCTGTGCAGACTAGTCTATTTACATGGATTTAGACTTTTTGCACTATTTTTATTCTTATTTTGTATTTTTGTATGTTATTATATATGTTGCATTGTGGGAGGAGCTCAGGTCAGAATAATTTCATTGCCATTTCTACACTGAAGCTGCTGAGCATATGATGATAAAACCTTTGAATCTTGAATCTTTGCAAACTGACCTCGGCCATGCTGATGCTCTGCTTCCGGCCTCGCGGCGCCTCGAAGAACAGCTGCTCTTTGTTTCCTGTGTTCACCTGCAGCAGCTTACCTGCAGGGGACACAGCTCCATGCTTACCAGGAAATACATCTCACTTTCTGTTTCTCAACATTTTGGGACTTAAATCTCAGAGAATATTAGTTTTGTTTTTCTCTTACATTTATGACTCAATCTTGGAAGTTTTACCCCCTTCCCTCAATCTGTATTTATACTTGACCTTCACTGGCCTTCATACATAGGTATGGTATATTTCATGATGTGATTGTGTCTGTATTATCTGCGCAGACAGATTGTAATTAGCGCCCTGGCTAACAGTTCGTTTTTACCGCCAACTATTAGACTCCACGGCTAACCCTTAGCTTCGACTGCTGACATTTAGCGTATACTGCTATACGTTAGCTTCTACTGCCAACATTTAGCATATATTGCTATCATTTAGCTTCTACTGCTAACATTTAGCTCAGACTGCAATCATTTAGCTTCTACTGCCAACATTAAGCTTCTACTGCTATAAGTTAGCTTCTACTGCTAACATTTAGCTCAGACTGCAATCATTTAGCTTCTACTGCCAACATTTAGCGTATACTGCTATAAGTTAGCTTCTACTGCTATCATTTAGCTTCTTCTTTTAACTTTTAGACTGTACTTCAAACAGTTGAGTTCTTCTGCAAACCGTTAGCATGTTGGCGTAGCATTACCTGCAAACCGTTAGCCTATTAGCGTAGCATTACCTCTGGAGTCCCAGTCGATGTGTGTGATGTAGCTTCCCGCTCCTTTGCAGATTCCCACCCTCTTGCTGGTCAGAACGTTGTAGATGTCCACGAAAGAGTCGTGCGACGCCACGGCCAGGTACTTCCCGGAGTCTGAAACACAAACAGCTGATGGTCACAGACGGACCAATCACACACCGCCTCCTCACACCTGCGTGGTGCGTTCAGGTACCTTGGGAGAAGCGGATGTCCGAGATGAGCTCCCTGCGGTGGTGGAAGGTCACCATGTCCTCCAGCGTGTCAGCGTTCACCACCAGGAAGCTGCCGTCGCTCAGACCCACGGCCAGCGCCTTCCCGTCCGGAGAGAAGGCGCAGCAGCGACCTCCTGGGGGGGAGAGAGACTCTTTACTGAGAGGAACCATGAAGACACAACAAGTAGTCTTTACTAAGAGGAACCATGAAGACACAAGTAGTCTTTACTGAGAGGAACCATGAAGACACAACAAGTAGTCTTTACTAAGAGGAACCATGAAGACACAACAAGTAGTCTTTAATGAGAGGAACCATGAAGACACAACAAGTAGTCTTTACTGAGAGGAACCATGAAGACACAACAAGTAGTCTTTACTGAGAGGAACCATGAAGACACAACAAGTAGTCTTTACTAAGAGGAACCATGAAGACACAAGTAGTCTTTACTGAGAGGAACCATGAAGACACAACAAGTAGTCTTTACTGAGAGGAACCATGAAGACACAAGTAGTCTTTACTGAGAGGAACCATGAAGACACAACAAGTAGTCTTTACTGAGAGGAACCATGAAGACACAACAAGTAGTCTTTACTGAGAGGAACCATGAAGACACAACAAGTAGTCTTTAATGAGAGGAACCATGAAGACACAAGTAGTCTTTAATGAGAGGAACCATGAAGACACAACAAGTAGTCTTTAATGAGAGGAACCATGAAGACACAACAAGTAGTCTTTACTAAGAGGAACCATGAAGACACAACAAGTAGTCTTTAATGAGAGGAACCATGAAGACACAACAAGTAGTCTTTAATGAGAGGAACCATGAAGACACAACCTCAGCAAGTAGTCCTTCACATGCTGATATACAAGAGAGGGAGTTACACAGTCACAATGGAGGAATACCGGTTCTTGTAGGTAATCATACATCCTGTCAAAATGTACAAAATACTGATCTTTTTCAAAAAATTCTGATTTCTTTCAAAAAATTCTGACTTTTTTCTAAAAATGCTGACTTTTTTTTAAAGATTTTGACTTTTTTCTGAACTTTTTTGACTTGGGAACCATGAAGATACAACAAGTAGTCTTTAACCTGTTAAGCCCTGAGCCTGTTTTTCAGGTCTCAGGCTCGAAAATGCCATTCCCAGAACAAATGACCATATCTTCCCTTCTAAAAGGGTTAAATTAATAATCTTTTTTCTCAAAGTAATGATAAACCTGTGAGTTGGATGTAGAAAAGTCAGAATCAATATAGATGTTTTTTATTTTAAAGAAAATTCAGATTGAACATAGTAAAAAACTGTAAATTATAGTGTCCGTCCAAAAATTCTTTTTTACTTATAGTGAAAACTACCCTTGCATGATGGTAAGGTAGACTAACAGCTTTAGGAATCCAAAGTACAACATAGAATAAGTACCCTGTATCAAGATTGATGCAAAACAAGTGACATTTGACCTTTTAGAGAGATTTAGCAAAAAGAAACCACTTCTGGGGTCATTTGGGTGGATTTTCCATATCTCTGGCCTCCCTTGCTCGATTTTGATGGTTGACACCTCTTTCTGACCGTTAGAGCCAATAGAATCAAAGGGGGAGTCCCCCACACACACTCATTGTGAAGAGAAGAGGTGGGGGCTTCGCGCATGTAATTTTGCATCAGAGTGAACCTATCTCTAGCTTTGACATCTGGAAACGGAAAAGCAGTTTTAATGCTTATGGATTATCAGAAATCATTTCAAAGGGACACAGACACATTGGATTAACCTATGGATTAATTTCAGCAGCGTTTTTATCGTTTATTTGTATTCAATGCCATTGAAGACCACTTTGGAGAGACTACAGAGCCAAGGTAAAAATGTTAGCATTTTTAGCTACCTAGCGTCACCTGTTTTGATGTCCGTTTTTGCTTATAACGTCGCCATTTCGTATAATTCAGTGATAATGTGGGTGTCCATCGATTCTGTGTCACCTCACGATGTGAAACGATGTCATGGATGTAGAGAAAAGATAAATAATAAGGTTTTGTGAGTGATTTTCGGTGCAGTAAGGTGTTAGCATTTTTCGCTCAGAGGCTCAGCGTTAGCATTGTGGGTTTTATTTTGAAAAATAAATAAAAATTATCAGTTAGATGAGTTTCTTCCCGTTACATGGATATAAAACATTCATAGTTTATTAAATGAACATGCCCTCAGACACTGTTTCCTGCAAGATGTTGCGGCAGTGCCCCGGTACCGGGGTCTCTCGGGCTTAACAGGTTAATGAGAGAAACCATGAAGATACAACTACTGACTTTTTTCTGAAAATCTAAACATTCGTACATTTTCTCAAAATCTTGACTTTTTTCTCAAAATCTCAAAATGCTGTCTTTTTCTCAAAATGTTGACTTTTTCTCAAAATCTCAAATTTCGGACTTTTTCTCAAAATCACAAAATTCTGACTTTTTGACAAAATCTCAAAATTCTGACTTTTCTAAAAAATTCTGACTTTTCTGAATACTTTAAAATGTTAATAATCACTGGTCAACAGTCCAGTGAACAGGTGAACTCTCTCACCCTTCTTCAGTTTGCGGACGGCCACCATGCGATGATTGGCCGACAGCTCCCAGATCCTCAGGGTTTTGTCATCGCTGACGGTGGCGCAGACAGGAAGTAGAGGATGAGCCGCCAGACCCCACACCTCCCCCTCCATGTGACCCTGAACACAACACCACAACAACAACATGAAACTCCAACAGACAGTGAATGCATCACATGCTTTTATCTTCAGTAGACCCGACTACTGTAAAAGTGTCTTCTTATTTAAATAAACACCGGCCCCTCTGACCTGCAGCAGGAGGGTCATCGGGCCGCTCTTATCGATCTCCAGGATCTCTCCGTTCTTGGTGCCCAGCAGGATGTGACCGTGACCCAGAGTGATGGCTCTGATGGAGGGGTTGTCCTCCAGCAGCAGACCTGACACACACACACACACACACACACACACACACACACACACACACACCCACACACACACACACACACACACACACACACACACACACACACACACACACACACACACACACACACACACACACACACACACACACACACACACACACACACCACACACACACACACACAACACACACACACACACACACACACACACACACACACACACACACTTGATTAACATCCGTTTAGTTTCACCTTGTTTACATATGACACACCCCCTCTACACTTAGCCCCACCCCCTCCACACTTAGCCCCACCCCCTCCACACTTAGCCCCACCCCCTCCACACTTAGCCCCACCCCCTCCACACTTAGCCCCACCCCCTCCACACTTAGCCCCACCCCCTCAACTGGATGAGTAGTATAGGCAATGCCTGTGTTTTAACATGTTCTTATTTAGTTAAGTTTTACATTTTTTTTAAATTAAGATTTCCAGTACTGTATGCTGCATGTTTTTATTTGACTGTATGTACTTGTTTAAAATGAAATGTGTTTTAGGGTGACTGATAACATGTGTCCAGGGCCTACAGATGAAACAGAGCCTCTTGGCACATTGACAGAAAGTCCCTGTTAAATAAGAGCTCTCTGAGACCTTTGGAGGCGGGGGACAGCGCGGCCCTCTTGATGGCGTACGTCTTCAGGCATCTCTCGAACATGTCGTCCCACAGCTCCACGATGCCGTCCTTCCCCCCCGTCACAAAGCCCTGGACAGTGAACGCACCACGAGACCGGAAACACAAACAGAGGCAGAAATAAAGTTGATTCATACAGCTCCGTTCAACACGAGCCAATTCAAAGTGCTTCACACAAATGGAAGACATTGAGAGCCTCGAGGAACTCTCTGAAGAGCAAAGATAATAAAACATGAATAACAGGAATCAGAGTTACAGTGCAGTGTGATCTGACTCTGGGGACAGAGAGCAGACCTGAAGACCTGAGAGACCTGACTCTGGGGACAGAGAGCAGACCTGAAGACCTGAGAGACCTGACTCTGGGGACAGAGAGCAGACCTGAGAGACCTGACTCTGGGGACAGAGAGCAGACCTGAAGACCTGAGAGACCTGACTCTGGGGACAGAGAGCAGACCAGAAGACCTGAGAGACCTGACTCTGGGGACAGAGAGCAGACCTGAAGACCTGAGAGACCTGACTCTGGGGACAGAGAGCAGACCTGAAGACCTGAGAGACCTGACTCAGGGGACAGAGAGCAGACCTGAGAGACCTGACTCTGGGGACAGAGAGCAGACCTGAGAGACCTGACTCTGGGGACAGAGAGCAGACCTGAGAGACCTGACTCTGGGGACAGAGAGCAGACCTGAGAGACCTGACTCTGGGGACAGAGAGCAGACCTGAGAGACCTGACTCTGGGGACAGAGAGCAGACCTGAGAGACATGACTCTGGGGACAGAGAGCAGACCAGAAGACCTGAGAGACCTGAGAGACCTGACTCTGGGGACAGAGAGCAGACCTGAGAGACATGACTCTGGGGACAGAGAGCAGACCTGAGAGACATGACTCTGGGGACAGAGAGCAGACCTGAGAGACCTGACTCTGGGGACAGAGAGCAGACCTGAGAACCTGACTCTGGGGACAGAGAGCAGACCTGAGAAACCTGACTCTGGGGACAGAGAGCAGACCAGAAGACCTGAGAGGACCCTGACTCTGGGGAAAGAGAGCAGACTGAGAGACCTGAGAGAGACCTGACTCTGGGGACAGAGAGCAGAACCAGAAGACCTGAGTAGACCTGACTCTGGGGAAAGAGAGCAGACCTGAGAGACCTGAGAGACCTGACTCTGGGGGACAGAGAGCAGACCTGAGAGACCTGACTCTGGGGACAGAGAGCAGACCTGAAGACCTGAGAGACCTGACTCTGGGGACAGAGAGGCAGACCTGAGAGACCTGAGAGACCTGACTCTGGGGCAGAGAGCAGACCTGAAGACCTGAGAGACCTGACTCTGGGGACAGAGAGCAGACCTGAGAGACCTGACTCTGGGGACAGAGAGCAGACCTGAGAGACCTGAGAGACCTGACTCTGGGGACAGAGAGCAAGACCTGAAGACCAGAGAGACCTGACTCTGGGACAGAGAGCAAGACCTGAGAGACCTGAGAGACCTGACTCAGGGGACAGAGAGCAGACCTGAGAGACCTGAGAGACCTGACTCTGGGGACAGAGAGCAGACCTGAGAGACCTGAGAGACCTGACTCTGGGGACAGAGAGCAGACCTGAGAGACCTGAGAGACCTGACTCTGGGGACAGAGAGCAGACCAGAAGACCTGAGAGACCTGACTCTGGGGACAGAGAGCAGACCAGAAGACCTGAGAGACCTGACTCTGGGGACAGAGAGCAGACCAGAAGACCTGAGAGACCTGACTCTGGGGAAAGAGAGCAGACCTGAGAGACCTGAGAGACCTGACTCTGGGGACAGAGAGCAGACCTGAGAGACCTGACTCTGGGGACAGAGAGCAGACCTGAAGACCTGAGAGACCTGACTCTGGGGACAGAGAGCAGACCTGAGAGACCTGAGAGACCTGACTCTGGGGACAGAGAGCAGACCTGAAGACCTGAGAGACCTGACTCTGGGGACAGAGAGCAGACCTGAGAGACCTGACTCTGGGGACAGAGAGCAGACCTGAGAGACCTGAGAGACCTGACTCTGGGGACAGAGAGCAGACCTGAAGACCAGAGAGACCTGACTCTGGGGACAGAGAGCAGACCTGAGAGACCTGAGAGACCTGACTCTGGGGACAGAGAGCAGACCTGAGAGACCTGAGAGACCTGACTCTGGGGACAGAGAGCAGACCTGAGAGACCTGAGAGACCTGACTCTGGGGACAGAGAGCAGACCAGAAGACCTGAGAGACCTGACTCTGGGGACAGAGAGCAGACCAGAAGACCTGAGAGACCTGACTCTGGGGACAGAGAGCAGACCTGAGAGACCTGAGAGATCTGACTCTGGGGACAGAGAGCAGACCTGAGAGACCTGAGAGACCTGACTCTGGGGACAGAGAGCAGACCTGAAGACCTGAGAGACCTGACTCTGGGGACAGAGAGCAGACCAGAAGACCTGAGAGACCTGACTCTGGGGACAGAGAGCAGACCTGAGAGACCTGAGAGACCTGACTCTGGGGACAGAGAGCAGACCTGAGAGACCTGACTCTGGGGACAGAGAGCAGACCTGAAGACCTGACTCTGGGGACAGAGAGCAGACCTGAGAGACCTGACTCTGGGGACAGAGAGCAGACCTGAGAGACATGACTCTGGGGACAGAGAGCAGACCAGAAGACCTGAGAGACCTGACTCTGGGGACAGAGAGCAGACCTGAGAGACCTGAGAGACCTGACTCTGGGGACAGAGAGCAGACCTGAGAGACATGACTCTGGGGACAGAGAGCAGACCTGAGAGACCTGACTCTGGGGACAGAGAGCAGACCTGAGAGACCTGAGAGATCTGACTCTGGGGACAGAGAGCAGACCTGAGAGACCTGAGAGACCTGACTCTGGGGACAGAGAGCAGACCTGAAGACCTGAGAGACCTGACTCTGGGGACAGAGAGCAGACCAGAAGACCTGAGAGACCTGACTCTGGGGACAGAGAGCAGACCTGAGAGACCTGAGAGACCTGACTCTGGGGACAGAGAGCAGACCTGAGAGACCTGACTCTGGGGACAGAGAGCAGACCTGAAGACCTGACTCTGGGGACAGAGAGCAGACCTGAGAGACCTGACTCTGGGGACAGAGAGCAGACCTGAGAGACATGACTCTGGGGACAGAGAGCAGACCAGAAGACCTGAGAGACCTGACTCTGGGGACAGAGAGCAGACCTGAGAGACCTGAGAGACCTGACTCTGGGGACAGAGAGCAGACCTGAGAGACATGACTCTGGGGACAGAGAGCAGACCTGAGAGACCTGACTCTGGGGACAGAGAGCAGACCTGAGAGACCTGACTCTGGGGACAGAGAGCAGACCTGAGAAACCTGACTCTGGGGACAGAGAGCAGACCAGAAGACCTGAGAGACCTGACTCTGGGGAAAGAGAGCAGACCTGAGAGACCTGAGAGACCTGACTCTGGGGACAGAGAGCAGACCTGAGAGACCTGACTCTGGGGAAAGAGAGCAGACCTGAGAGACCTGAGAGACCTGACTCTGGGGACAGAGAGCAGACCTGAGAGACCTGACTCTGGGGACAGAGAGCAGACCAGAAGACCTGAGAGACCTGACTCTGGGGACAGAGAGCAGACCTGAGAGACCTGAGAGACCTGACTCTGGGGACAGAGAGCAGACCTGAAGACCTGAGAGACCTGACTCTGGGGACAGAGAGCAGACCTGAGAGACCTGAGAGACCTGACTCTGGGGACAGAGAGCAGACCTGAAGACCTGAGAGACCTGACTCTGGGGACAGAGAGCAGACCTGAGAGACCTGACTCTGGGGACAGAGAGCAGACCTGAGAGACCTGACTCTGGGGACAGAGAGCAGACCTGAGAGACCTGAGAGACCTGACTCTGGGGACAGAGAGCAGACCTGAAGACCAGAGAGACCTGACTCTGGGGACAGAGAGCAGACCTGAGAGACCTGAGAGACCTGACTCTGGGGACAGAGAGCAGACCTGAGAGACCTGAGAGACCTGACTCTGGGGACAGAGAGCAGACCTGAGAGACCTGAGAGACCTGACTCTGGGGACAGAGAGCAGACCAGAAGACCTGAGAGACCTGACTCTGGGGACAGAGAGCAGACCAGAAGACCTGAGAGACCTGACTCTGGGGACAGAGAGCAGACCTGAGAGACCTGAGAGATCTGACTCTGGGGACAGAGAGCAGACCTGAGAGACCTGAGAGACCTGACTCTGGGGACAGAGAGCAGACCTGAGAGACCTGACTCTGGGGACAGAGAGCAGACCTGAGAGACCTGACTCTGGGGACAGAGAGCAGACCTGAGAGACCTGAGAGACCTGACTCTGGGGACAGAGAGCAGACCTGAAGACCTGAGAGACCTGACTCTGGGGACAGAGAGCAGACCAGAAGACCTGAGAGACCTGACTCTGGGGACAGAGAGCAGACCTGAGAGACCTGAGAGACCTGACTCTGGGGACAGAGAGCAGACCTGAGAGACCTGACTCTGGGGACAGAGAGCAGACCTGAAGACCTGAGAGACTGATCCACTTTCTTAGTGTTAGTGAGGACTCGAGCAGCGTTCAGTCACAAAGTCTAAACTCTGCAGCAGCTCTCAGTGTAGAGAGTCAAATATAATCTAGCCCTACCCTCAGTCTTTACTCTCAAAGTATTGAACAAGTTATTGAAGTGTGACCTTGTCCAGGGAGCACATGGCGAACACGGGCCCGTCGTGGGCTTTGATGGTCTTGATGAGCGTGGTGTCTCTCCAGATGTAGACGTCTCCATTGGTCGCTCCGGAGAACACCAGGTCCTCCGATCGACCGTAACACGCCGACATCATCGTCTCCTGCTTCCCCAGGTTCCCAAAGATCCCCCGTTTAAAGGTGAGGCCGCCCCCTGCAGGACGGGAGGCGTTACTCAGGACACAGAGCAACACTGAATCCGACACTGAGAGGTTCTACATAACTGGGTTCAAGTCTCTCTCATCAGGAGCTCAGCAGCTACAGTGGAGACACATGACAAACTGGAGTCCTCCTCCAACAGAGCAACATGAATACATAGAGGACATCAACCTAATCAAACAGAGGATGCTTTGAGACGTGCAAGTTCATACACATAACATAGAAATAGTGCCAGAAGAGTCTAGATACAAGGGAATATGATATATTCAAATAATTAGCAAAATGCAAGATTGCAGCTGTGATTAATACGCACTGCAGCTGATGGATCAAACCCAGGTAGACTCAGGTGAGTGGGTGGGGGGTGGATCAAACCCAGGTAGACTCAGGTGAGTGGGTGGGGGGTGGATCAAACCCAGGTAGACTCAGGTGAGTGGGTGGGGGGTACCTGAGTGCTGCCAGAACTTGATGTGCTTTATGCCGACCGTCACCAGCTTGTCCATCCTGAACGGGTTGCTCCTCACCACGAACGTCTTCTCTTTGTGACCCCTGCAGACCACAGAGGTGAGCACTCTTACCCTCTCATTAGATTACCTATAACAGGTGTACAGGTGTACAGGTGTACATGTGTACAGGTGTACAGGTGTACAGGTGTACAGGTGTACAGGTGTACATGTGTACAGGTGTACAGGTGTACAGGTGTACATGTGTACAGGTGTACAGGTGTACATGTGTACAGGTGTAGAGGTGTACAGGAGTACATGTGTACAGGTGTACATGTGTACAGGTGTACATGTGTACAGGTGTACATGTGTACAGGTGTACAGGTGTACAGGTGTACATGTGTACAGGTGTAGAGGTGTACATGAGTACATGTGTACATGTGTACAGGTGTACAGGTCTACAGGTGTACAGGTGTACAGGTGTACAGGTGTACCTGGCCTTGGCTAGTCTCTCTCCTTTCTTCCAGTCCCAGATGACGATGGAGTGAAATTCATCGATTCCCACTGAGACCAAACTCTTCCCGTCCGCTGAGAGACAGAAACAGAAAACATCTGTGAACACCTGCTGGGACAACATGTGCAGCAGTGTGTGTGTAGCAGTGTGTGTGTAGCAGTGTGTGTAGCAGTGTGTGTGCAGCAGTGTGTGTAGCAGTGTGTGTGCAGCAGTGTGTGTGTAGCAGTGTGTGTGCAGCAGTGTGTGTGCAGCAGTGTGTGTGCAGCAGTGTGTGTGCAGCAGTGTGTGTAGCAGTGCGTGTGTAGCAGTCTGTGTGCATCAGTGTGTGTGTAGCAGTGTGTGTAGCAGTGCGTGTGTAGCAGTCTGTGTGTAGCAGTGCGTGTGTAGCAGTCTGTGTGTAGCAGTGCATGTGTAGCAGTCTGTGTGTAGCAGTGCGTGTGTAGCAGTCTGTGTGTAGCAGTGCGTGTGTAGCAGTCTGTGTGTAGCAGTGCGTGTGTAGCAGTCTGTGTGTAGCAGTGCGTGTGTAGCAGTCTGTGTGTAGCAGTCTGTGTGTAGCAGTCTGTGTGCAGCAGTGTGTGTGCAGCAGTGTGTGTGTAGCAGTGCGTGTGTAGCAGTCTGTGTGTAGCAGTCTGTGTGTAGCAGTGTGTGTGCAGCAGTGTGTGTGTAGCAGTCTGTGTGTAGCAGTGCGTGTGTAGCAGTCTGTGTGTAGCAGTCTGTGTGTAGCAGTGTGTGTGTAGTAGTATGTGTGTAGCAGTGCGTGTGTAGCAGTCTGTGTGTAGCAGTGCGTGTGTAGCAGTCTGTGTGCAGCAGTGTGTGTGTAGCAGTGCGTGTGTAGCAGTCTGTGTGCAGCAGTGTGTGTGCAGCAGTGTGTGGAGCAGTGTGTGTGTAGCAGTGTGTGTGCAGCAGTGTGTGTAGCAGTGCGTGTGTAGCAGTCTGTGTGTAGCAGTGTGTGTGTAGCAGTGTGTGTGCAGCAGTGTGTGTAGCAGTGTGTGTGCAGCAGTGTGTGTGTAGCAGTGTGTGTGCAGCAGTGTGTGTAGCAGTGTGTGTGCAGCAGTGTGTGTGTAGCAGTGTGTGTGCAGCAGTGTGTGTAGCAGTGCGTGTGTAGCAGTCTGTGTGCAGCAGTGTGTGTGTAGCAGTGTGTGTAGCAGTGCGTGTGTAGCAGTCTGTGTGTAGCAATGCGTGTGTAGCAGTCTGTGTGTAGCAGTGCGTGTGTAGCAGTCTGTGTGTAGCAGTGCGTGTGTAGCAGTCTGTGTGTAGCAGTGCGTGTGTAGCAGTCTGTGTGTAGCAGTCTGTGTGCAGCAGTGTGTGTGCAGCAGTGTGTGTGTAGCAGTGCGTGTGTAGCAGTCTGTGTGTAGCAGTCTGTGTGTAGCAGTGTGTGTGCAGCAGTGCGTGTGTAGCAGTCTGTGTGTAGCAGTGCGTGTGTAGCAGTCTGTGTGTAGCAGTCTGTGTGTAGCAGTGTGTGTGTAGCAGTCTGTGTGTAGCAGTGCGTGTGTAGCAGTCTGTGTGTAGCAGTGCGTGTGTAGCAGTCTGTGTGTAGCAGTGCGTGTGTAGCAGTCTGTGTGTAGCAGTCTGTGTGTAGCAGTCTGTGTGTAGCAGTGCGTGTGTAGCAGTGTGTGTGTAGCAGTGCGTGTGTAGCAGTCTGTGTGTAGCAGTCTGTGTGTAGCAGTGTGTGTGCAGCAGTCTGTGTGTAGCAGTGCGTGTGTAGCAGTCTGTGTGTAGCAGTCTGTGTGTAGCAGTGTGTGTGTAGCAGTCTGTGTGTAGCAGTGCGTGTGTAGCAGTCTGTGTGTAGCAGTGCGTGTGTAGCAGTCTGTGTGTAGCAGTGCGTGTGTAGCAGTCTGTGTGTAGCAGTGCGTGTGTAGCAGTCTGTGTGTAGCAGTCTGTGTGCAGCAGTGTGTGTGCAGCAGTGTGTGTGTAGCAGTGCGTGTGTAGCAGTCTGTGTGTAGCAGTCTGTGTGTAGCAGTGTGTGTGCAGCAGTGCGTGTGTAGCAGTCTGTGTGTAGCAGTGCGTGTAGCAGTCTGTGTGTAGCAGTGTGTGTGTAGCAGTGTGTGTGTAGCAGTGTGTGTAGCAGTGTGTGTGTACCTGTGAACTCCAGAGCACACACCCCCCTGCTGTGATGACCCTTCAGCAGCGACAGACATTTCAGAGTCTGGATGTCCCACACATGGACCGCCGGGTCTCTGCCCACCTGAACACACAGCCAATCAGAACACACCTGAACACACAGCCAATCATAGCACATCTGAACACACACACAGCCAATCAGAGCACACCTGAACACACACACAGCCAATCAGAACACACCTGAACACACAGCCAATCATAGCACATCTGAACACACACACAGCCAATCAGAGCACACCTGAACACACCAGTCAGAAGCCCTGTCAGTGCTGCGCTGTGATTGGCTGTACTTGAGTGGAGGCAGCGTAGTCTGTGATTGGCTGTGATTGGCTGTACCTGAGCGGAGGCAGCGTAGTCTGTGATTGGCTGTGATTGGCTGTACCTGAGCGGAGGCAGCGTAGTCTGTGATTGGCTGTGATTGGCTGTACCTGAGCGGAGGCAGCGTAGTCTGTGATTGGCTGTGATTGGCTGTACCTGAGCGGAGGCAGCGTAGTCTGTGATTGGCTGTGATTGGCTGTACCTGAGCGGAGGCAGCGTAGTCCTTGATGGGGTGCGTGGTGAGGCAGAGGATGTCCTCGTCGTGGCCCAGGTAGAACCTCTGGCTGTGCTTCAGGCGGTCGTACACCACAGCGACCGCAGCCACGTGGAACAGCAGCTCCCCTGTCTGGCTGTAGAACAGGTTGTTCCTGCAGTCGAAGCCCCGGTACCTGAGGAGCCACAACAACACATCACTTTAAACTCTTCTGGTGGTTCTTTTTATCTCGTCAGGATCTTCTTCTAATGTTGTTGTTGTAATACTGAGTTTGGCCACAAGAGGCTGAAAGACCACGTCAACAAGCAGCAGATTACAGCGGCTGAATTTAAGGGTTGTGAGTTTCTTTAAATGCTTTTAGAATATGATCAGATGGTGCTGCTGCGAGCATCACAACAACACACACTCCTTTAGTTCCTGAATAAAACTTTATTGTTCTTACCCGTGAACAAACTGCAGACGAAGCCCCTCCTCCGGAGCCTTCTGGCGCTTCAGAGAACCAATCAGCTTCTTCCTCAGCTGAGGTAGGTCCTCCTTATACACCTGCACACACAGGTAGATAGACAGGTGAGTCAGACAGACAGACAGGTAGATAGACAGACAGGTAGATAGACAGACAGACAGACAGACAGACAGGTAGATAGACAGGTGTGTCAGACAGACAGACAGACAGACAGGTAGATAGACAGGTGAGTCAGACAGACAGACAGGTAGATAGACAGGTGAGTCAGACAGACAGACAGGTAGATAGACAGGTGTGTCAGACAGACAGACAGACAGACAGGTAGATAGATAGGTGAGTCAGACAGACAGACAGGTAGATAGACAGGTGAGTCAGACAGACAGACAGGTAGATAGATAGACAGGTGAGTCAGACAGACAGACAGACAGGTAGATAGACAGGTGTGTCAGACAGACAGACAGGTAGATAGACAGGTGAGTCAGACAGACAGACAGGTAGATAGATAGACAGGTGAGTCAGACAGACAGACAGACAGGTAGATAGACAGGTGAGTCAGACAGACAGGTAGATAGACAGGTGAGTCAGACAGACAGGTAGATAGACAGGTGAGTCAGACAGACAGACAGGTAGATAGACAGGTGAGTCAGACAGACAGACAGACAGACAGACAGGTGAGTCAGACAGACAGACAGACAGACAGACAGACAGACAGACAGACAGACAGGTGAGTCAGACAGACAGACAGACAGACAGGTAGACAGACAGGTGAGTCAGACAGACAGGTAAGGTATTCAATATGTTCCTTAGATAACTTTAAATGTTATGTATTTTCTCCTCATAGCATGGTGAAGCACCTTGAGATGACGTTGTTTTTAAACTGTGCTATATGAATGAAATGTAATATTATTATTAAGCAGACAGCATGTGATTGGTTGTCTCTGGTCACCTGACGTTCGTAGCTGGTCTGAGCTTCCTGCTCGATGTCCGAGTCGAGCTCCGGGACGTCCGACACGTCCGAGTCCGACTCTCCGCTGTTGGAGTCGGCGTAGCCCTCTGAGCGCAGAGACACAGAGTGAGAACAGAGTGAGATCTCACTACACACCATGTGCTGCTGGACCAATCAGCAACTGTCTCACCCTAGATCCTGTCTCACCCTAGATCCTGTCTCACCTTAGATCCTGTCTCACCCTAGATCCTGTCTCACCTTAGATCCTGTCTCACCCTAGATCCTGTCTCACCTTAGATCCTGTCTCACCCTAGGTCCTGTCTCACCTAGGTCCTGTCTCACCTTAGATCCTGTCTCACCTTAGATCCTGTCTCACCCTAGATCCTGTCTCACCCTTAGATCCTGTCTCACCTTAGATCCTGTCTCACCTTAGATCCTGTCTCACCCTAGATCCTGTCTCACCCTAGGTCCTGTCTCACCTTAGATCCTGTCTCACCTTAGATCCTGTCTCACCCTAGATCCTGTCTCACCTTAGATCCTGTCTCACCCTAGATCCTGTCTCACCCTAGATCCTGTCTCACCCTAGATCCTGTCTCACCCTAGATCCTGTCTCACCTTAGATCCTGTCTCACCCTAGATCCTGTCTCACCTTAGATCCTGTCTCACCTTAGATCCTGTCTCACCCTAGATCCTGTCTCACCCTAGATCCTGTCTCACCCTAGATCCTGTCTCACCTTAGATCCTGTCTCACCTTAGATCCTGTCTCAACCCTTAGATCCTTCCCTAGATCCTGTCTCACCCTAGATCCTGTCTCACCCTTAGATCCTGTCTCCACCCTAGATCCTGTCTCACCCTTAGATCTGTCTCACCCTAGATCCTGTCTCACCCTAGATCCTGTCTCACCCTAGGATCCTGTCTCACCCTAGATCCTGTCTCACCCTAGAATCCTGTCTCAACCCTAGATCCTGTCTCACCCTAGATCCTGTCTCACCCTTAGATCCTGTCTCACCTTAGATCCTGTCTCACCCTAGATCCTGTCTCACCCCTAGATCCTGTCTCAACCCTAGATCCTGTCTCACCTAGATCCTGTCTCACCTTAGATCCTGTCTCACCTAGATCCTGTCTCCACCCTAGATCCTGTCTCACCTTAGATCCTGTCTCACCCTAGATCCTGTCTCACCCTAGGTCCTGTCTCACCCTAGATCCTGTCTCACCCTAGATCCTGTCTCACCCTAGATCCTGTCTCACCTTAGATCCTGTCTCACCCTAGGTCCTGTCTCACCCTAGATCCTGTCTCACCCTAGATCCTGTCTCACCCTAGATCCTGTCTCACCTAGATCCTGTCTCACCTTAGATCCTGTCCTCACCCTAGTCCTGTCTCACCCTAGACCTGTCTTCACCCTAGATCCTGTCTCACCCTAGATCCTGTCTCACCCTAGGTCCTGTCTCACCCTAGATCCTGTCTCACCCTAGGTCCTGTCTCACCCTAGATCCTGTCTCACCCTAGATCCTGTCTCACCTTAGATCCTGTCTCACCCTAGATCCTGTCTCACCCTAGATCCTGTCTCACCCTAGATCCTGTCTCACCCTAGATCCTGTCTCACCCTAGATCCTGTCTCACCCTAGGTCCTGTCTCATCCTGTCTCACCCTAGATCCTGTCTCACCCTAGATCCTGTCTCACCCTAGGTCCTGTCTCATCCTGTCTCACCCTAGATCCTGTCTCACCTTAGATCCTGTCTCACCCTAGATCCTGTCTCACCCTAGGTCCTGTCTCACCCTAGATCCTGTCTCACCCTAGATCCTGTCTCACCCTAGATCCTGTCTCACCTTAGATCCTGTCTCACCCTAGGTCCTGTCTCACCCTAGATCCTGTCTCACCCTAGATCCTGTCTCACCCTAGATCCTGTCTCACCTTAGA